GCAGTTGATATTCTGTTATATTATTACTTTCTATCTTCTATATTCACCTATTAAAGAATGCAGTTGATATTCTGTTATATTATTACTTTCTATCTTCTATATTCACCTATTAAAGAATGTTGTTATATTATTACTTTAGGTTGGAATGTTACTCAAGCTATAGGAGCTATAATAATAAGTTATTCTTTGTATTAAACAACTAGCCAAACATTTTAAGGGAATTATGTTGATGAAAAAGAAATATAAAAAAAAAGAATCGTTTCTGATTCGATTATTAAAGAACACCGAGTTCTTCCATTTTACGTATTTGTAAAACGTACTGTACCACTAACTGCCATATACGGTTATTGTTAATACAAACTGCCGTATACGATTCTTCTTAACACGAACTGCCATATACGGTTCTTCTTTACACAAACCGTCATATACAGTTGTTGTTAACACAAATTGTCATGTACAGTTAGTGTTAACATAAAATATCATATACAGTTATTGTTAACATAAAGTGCCATATACGGTTCTTCTTTACACAAACCGTCATATACAGTTGTTGTTAACATAAACTGTCATGTACAGTTACTGTTAACATAAAATACCATACAGTTATTGTTAACATAAAGTGCCATATACGGTTCTTCTTAGTACAAACTGGCATGTACAGTTATTGTTAACACAAACTACCATGTATGGTTCTTCTTAACGCAAACACTGTCATATACTGTTATTGTTAACACACACTACCATATATGGTTCTTCTTAACACAAACACTGCCAGATTACTATTATTGTTAATTCGGCACTAGTTAGCTTCGATTCGCCATATACTATTGATGTTAATTCAGCACTAGTTAGCTTCGATTCGCCATATACTATTGATGTTAATTCGGCACTAGTTAGCTTCGATTCGCCATATACTATTGATGTTAATTCGGCACTAGTCAGCTTCGATTCGCCATATACTATTGATATTAATTCAGCACTAGTTAGCTTCGATTCGCCATATACTATTGATGTTAATTCGGCACTAGTTAGCTTCGATTCGCCATATACTATTGATATTAATTCAGCACTAGTTAGCTTCGATTCGTCCTACATCTTCAACTAGAATTTTATAAGAATGGTGATTTATTTTTATAGCTTCATATTCAGATCAGTATGATTCTGTATATTGCTCACCATTATAAGCATGTAGATTCTGCTTATTGCTCACCATTATAAGCATGTAGATTCTGCTTATTGCTCACCACTATAAGCATGTTCAATCACGAAATTGTGTTTTAGTCTTAAGTATTCAAGACATACAAGCTAATTAGTACAACAATATACAAGAGACATAACTGGAATTGAGTTGCAAGATTAGTAATCGCTCAAAGCTTAGTCTTAAACCTGAATCTTCTTAAATCTAAGGAGCCGATTTTACTTAAACAAATGCCAGGAACCAGTATACTGTTTAAATCACTTTCCCGAACATCTGATACCGCGATTACTGAACTAATGGATTTTTAGGAAAGAGTGGCAGGAGTTATTAACTTGCGGTTTGATAATCACTTAAAACAATAATCATTTACCTATTCTTCCCCCAATATATAATTAGTAGTCAGTTCTACACTATCTTCATCTGTTACTATGGTTTAACAAGTTGTGTTCTAAGTAAAGGTGGCAAAAGTATCGGTATCTTCATGATCAGCTAATACAATAAAGTCAGATTACTCTCTGTACCTTCGCCTATTTAGCTTAGATGTCTAGTTAATTGTCTAGGCTTTCTAGGATCATGATTATTTAACCAATCTTATCTACTCTCTGTAGCCGAAACAGCTTAATAGCGGTTATCTTTAATCAATATAAATTATAAATCTTTGTCTACATTCTACCTTAATAACCAAATTATTTGTCTCTAAAAATAGCAGTGATAGTGACTATTTATCTAGTATCTGCGACTTTCTGTAAACGTTAACTATTTATTCATTTCTCTAGATTATTTGTAGTCATAACTATTTGGACAGTTATCTTTAATTGTCACGTTTTTTAGCCAAGCTTTTCGACTGTTACTTGTCATAATTACTTAGCCAGTCTTTTTGGCCATCTCTGTTCATAATTATTTAGCCAGTTTTATTGACCATCTCTAATCATAACTATCTAGTAGTCTTCTTGACTACTTCTAATCATAATTATTTACCTAGTCTTCTTGACCATCTTTAATCATAACTATTTAATAGTCATGTTTAATTATAACGACTTGGCCAGTATTCTTGGCCATTTCTACTTGATTACTTACCTACCATTCTCGATAATCTGTACTTACACTTATATATATCCAGTCTTCTCAACTAGTTGTTCCTATAACTATTAAGCCTATATTTCTGACAGTCTTATCATAAAAACTTGGCCAGTCTTCTTGATCATCACCAGTCATAACGAATTAGACAGTACTCTAGACTGTAGATACAGTAGTTTTCACTTTTAAAACAATATTTTAAGCTATCTCTAATTACAATGACTTACCCAGTTTTCTATTTGACCTTACCTTGTTTTCCATACTATCCGTACCAATATTCACCTAACCAGTATTATTAACTAACTGTATTCATGATTGTTTACACAACCTTCTTGACAACCTTAACAACTATTTAGCCAGTTTTCTTCACTTTCCTTTCTTGCGACTATTTACCCAGTTTGTGGCCATTCTTTTTTAATTGGTCTTTTTTTTAAATTATCAGTTATAGTTACTTAGCCAGTTTTCCTATCTGTGTGAATAACTAATTATTCAGTCATCTTGGCTATAGTATCCACATAAATCTACAGTCTTCTCTTCTCTCTGTTTTTTATGGTTATTTATACTCCAGTCTTCTCCAATGATATCTGGAGCATGAACATTAACTCTACAATATTCTCTCTGTTTTTTTACAATTATTTATGCCTTTGATTACCTAGATACTCCAGGAATTTCTGGAGCATGACCATTAACTCTACAGTCTTCTCTTCTCTCTGTTTTTTACAATTATTTATGCCCTTGATTACCTAGATACTCCAGGAATGTCTGGAGCATGACCATTAACTTTACAATCTTCTCTCTGTTTTTTACAATTATTTATGCCTTTGATTATCTAGATACTACAGGAATATCTGGAGCATGACCATTAACTTTACAGTCTTCTATTCTCTCTGTTTTCTATGGTTATTTATGCCCTTGATTACCTAGATACTCCAGGAATGTCTGGAGCATGACCATTAACTATACAGTCTTCTATTCTCTCTGTTTTCTATGGTTATTTATGCCCTTGATTATCTAGATACTCCAGGAATGTCTGGAGCATGACCATTAACTCTACAATCTTCTCTCTGTTTTCTATGGTTATTTATGCCCTTGATTACCTAGATACTCCAGGAATGTCTGGAGCATGACCATTAACTCTACAATCTTCTCTCTGTTTTCTATGGTTATTTATGACCTTGATTATCCAGACACTCCAGGAATATCTGGAGCATGACCATTAACTCTACCGTCTTCTCTTCTCTCTGTTTTTTTACAATCATTTATGCCTTTGATTATTTAGATACTCCAGGAATATCTGGAGCATGACCATTAACTCTACAATCTTCTCTCTGTTTTTTACAATTATTTATGCCTTTGATTATCTAGATACTCCAGGAATTTCTGGAGCATGACCATTAACTCTACAGTCTTCTCTTCTCTTTGTTTTTTACAATTATTTATGACCTTGATTATCTAGATACTCCAGGAATATCTGGAGCATGACCGTTTGCTGGAATATCCTTTCTTATCCGTGGATATTTTTAAAAAAAAATTCAAACCATCTGAAACCAGAGTCATTTAGCTTAAATTCAATGACACCAAATACAGTAAATGTTCAGCTATTAATCTCACAATAGCTTGCAAGCAGTGATATAAAACATGTGACTTATCATCTCGGTAAACACGAATGTTCAGTAGAAGTTTCATTAAAAGATACGCAATCATGAAACTTAAATTACTCATCACTAGGTCTGCTAAAGAACTTCAAATTAAATATTGTTTAATCACTGTCTGCTAAAGAACTTCAAATTAAATATCATTTAATCACTGTCTGCTAAAGAGCTTCTAATTAAATATCATTCAATCACCGTCTGCTAAAGAGCTTCAAATTATATATCGTTTAATCACTGTCTGCTAAAGAGCTTCAAATTAAATACAGTTTAAACACTGTCTGCTAAATTGTTTGGGAATAAAAGTGCCAAGTTATCTATAGTCAGAAGCGTTTAATCCAGCTTTACCAAAAGTTTGGAACATTATAATACTAAATATTTAAAAAAATGTTGGAAAATTATAGAAAAAAAGACATATATTGGAGATACAGCTATAACATGGCAAGAAAAATTTAGGTATCGGAAAAATACTGAGAAAATGCTCCGGCCGTTTTCGTGAATTCTGCTGGATTACACACTTTGTTGTGAATCACGCAGTCGATTAAGTGGGTGGTTTGTTTTTCTTGACGTCGTATGGACACGTCTTTGTTACTTACACGTGTGTAGGTCAATGAGTTTCGCACACGTTTTGCACTCCACGTAGCAACACCAATGAAATTTGCACTTGCACCTTTCTTTTACTAAAGTCTTGTACGTGTTATATCCTCGTCCACAGCATAACAAGTTACAACCATCGGTAGAAGGCGAAGTTCGATTACACAAGCGGCTTTGTGTGCCGAACGAACCAGTAAGTTCATCATCCACGCAGTAATCCGGTGATTGGTCCAGGTACACCAGGTCTCCACTAGTTGGTAGAGTAAATCTTGGGTTTTTGATCTGCAGTCTCCCTCTCCGGTTTATCTTAACTTCGGTGGCGCCATCGTACTTGTCTTTGAGATGATCTCCGATTTCTCGAAACGATGCTAGCTGCTGCCAGCACGTGATCAGTGAGCACGAGCCAGAAACTCCGTGGCACTTGCACGTGACGTGAGTTTTGTGAATGACAGCCTGAATGAAATAGATAAATAAAATATCGTTGAAACAGCGAGCATCAGTAAAGTCATTTAATTGACATTAATTGACAAAGATTAAATAAAAACTCACCGTAAATGTGTAGTAAAGGAAATGATTTATTATACATACAATTATACATTCCCTAATATGAATTATTCACACCGTTCAACCTATCAAACGGATAACCATTACCGATTGGTGTAGCATTTTGGATGGAAAATGGGCAACCACCAAAATGTTAAATAATAATAAAATGAAACCTTCTGTGCCTAATGATACACATTAATGTATTTTACTATGGTCTGTTATGTCTGTATACGTAAATTAGACAGAGATTTTTTCTGCTCTGTCCAATAAATCATTTCACATTATGGCAACCTTAATGATGAGAATGTGTAAGCAGTGAAATAAATCTCTTACAGTGAGAAAATGGATAATTTTCATGCATTACAGCTATTAAACAGAAATTTTGTATTATAA